AGAGACTTTTTTTTTCCATTGTATATTTTTGCTTCCTTTGTCAAAAGATTAGTTGACTACAGGTGTGTGGGTTTATTTCTGGGCTCTCTATTCTGTTCAGTTGATAAGTGTGTCTTTTTGTGCCAGTTTCATGTTGGTTTGATTACTGTAGCTTTGTAGTATTATCTGAAATCTGGAAAGCTTATGCTTCTAGCTTTGTTCTTTTTCCTCAAGATTGCTTTGGCAATTCTCAATCCTTTTTTTCCTCTACATTTTTAAAAAAATTAAAGTATGGTTGAGTATCTGAGTATCTGAGCATCTGTTACTTTCAGGAATGGAGCATAATAATTCAGTTATACATGCATATATGATATATGTAAAGTATGTATATATTATATAAATTCTTTTTCAGATTATTTTTCCTTATAGGTTATTACAAAATACTGAGTATAGTTCTCTGTGCTATATGGTAGTTCCTTGTTGGTTATTTTATATATAGTATGTGTATGTTAATCCCAAACTCCTAATCTATTCCTCCCCACCCTTTCCCCTTTGGTAATCATAAGTTTGTTTTCTGTGTCTGTGGGTCTATTTCTGTTTTGTATATAAGTTCATTTGTATCATTCCTTTTAAGATTTCACATATAAGTGATAGCATATGATATTTGTCTTTCTATCACTTACTGCACTTAGTATGATAATCTCCAGGTCCACCCATGTTGCTACAAATGGCATTATTTCATTCTTTTTTATGTCTAACATTCCACTGTATGTATGTGTACACTCACCACATCTTTCATCCAGTCATCTGTTGATGGACATTTAGATTGCTTCCATGTCTTGGCTACTGTAAATAGTACTGCAGTGAACATTGGGGTGCATATATCTTTTTGAATTATAGTTTCTGTTGGATATATGCCCAGGAGTGGGATTGCTAGATCATATGACGACTCTTTGGTTCTTTGAGGAGTCTCCATACTGTTTTCCATAGTAGCTGTACCAATTTATACCCCCAGCAACAGTATAGGATGGTTCCTCTCCAGAATTTATTATTTGTAGTTTCTGTTGATGACCATTCTGACCAGTGTGAGGTGATAGTAGTTTAGATTTGCATTTCTCTAATAATTAGTTAGGGCATCCCTGGTGGCTCAGATGGTAAAGAGTCTGCCTGCTGTGCGGAAGACCTGGGTTTGATCTCTGGGTCAGGGTGATCCCCTGGAGAAGGAAATGGCAACCCAGTCCAGTATTCAAGCTTGGAAAATCCCATGGATAGAGGAGCCTGGCAGGCCATATAGTCCATGGGTCGCAGAGTCAGACACGACTGAGTGACTTCACTTTGAACTTTAGTGATATTAAGCACCTTTTCATTTGTTTTATTTGCCATCTGTATATAATTCTGGACCTTTTGTGCGTCCATGTAAGTTTTAGGATTATTTCTTCTAAAATTCTGTGGAATTTTTTCTAAAGTTCTGTGGAAAATGTCATGGGTAATTTGATAGGGATTGCATTAAATTTGTATATTGCTTTGGTAGTATGGGCAATTTAACAATATTAATTCCTCTATTTCAAGAACATAGGATATCCTTTCATTTCTTTGAATCATATTCAGTTTTTTTTAAATCATTGTTTTCTATTTCTCAGTATATAGATCTTTCACCTCCTTAGCTAGGTTTATTCCTAGGATCTTTTTTTTGGGGAGCGGGGGTTTGATGTGATTTTTAAATGGGATCATTTTTTTACTTGCTCTTTTTGGTATTTCATAATCAATATAAAGTAACCCAACAGATTTTTGTACTTGATCTTATATCCTGCTACCTTGCTAAATTCGTTTATCAGTTCTAGTATTTTTTGTGTAGAGTGTTTAGGGTTTTCTATTAGATTATCATGTCATCTACATATAATGACAATTTTACCTCTTCCTTTCCAATTTTAATACATTTTCTTTTCCTTATCTGATTATTGTGGCTATATCTTCCAACTCTATGCCGATGAGAAGTGGTGAGTGTGGGCATCCTGTGTATCATTCTAATTTTAGTATATGTGGTGCTGAATCGAGTACATCGCTCCCTCAGTATTCAGTGGGTGCTGTCAGTTGCTCTCGTGTGAGCTCTCTCCCATGTGCTTTCTCTGTCCCTTTCTTCCTTTCTCCTTACACTCCCTATTCTCCATGGCTTGCTGTGTGTGCTTTGTTTACTTGTTCACTTGTGTCTGACTCTTTGCGATCCCATGGACCATAGCCACCAGGCTCCCCTGTCCATGGTGATTCTCCAGGCAAGAATACTAGAGTGGGTTACCATGCCCTCCTCCAGGGCATCTTCCCAACCCAGGGATCAAACCCAGGTTTTGTGCATTGTAGGCAGATTCTTTACCATCTGAGCCACCAGGGAAGCCCATCCATGTCTTTAGTTTTAATTATTTTGACTAATTTCTCCTAAATGTGGCATTTTAATGTCAGCCCTTTCAGATCTTAGCTTGCCTTGCTCCCCAGCTCCCTGACCCTGTGAGGAGAACATGCAAAACCTCTCCTGTTTCAGCCATTCTCATGAGTACTGGTTGGCTATTTTAGTGTTTCCCCTTTCTGTGGCTAATCTGATTCCTCTTCTCAGATACTTGTTGATGCTATGCAGGGCATGTAGCTTTGATGGTTTGTCCCTTTGCAGTTTGTGAAGATACTGTGTTTTTGGATTTTGGTTTTGTTATTCCAGTCATTCTGTTTTCATGGGGTGATTTTGAGAGATTTTAAGTTATCTTCCATTACAATTTTTCTAGAATTTCTTTATCCTTACTCTTGAATGACAGTTTAGCAGGACATAGAAACCTACATTGTTAGTTCTTTCCTCTCAGTACCATTGTCTCCTGTGCCTGTTCTTGATGATTTAAAAAAAACAAAAACAAACTTCTCATAGTCAAATTGTTTTATCTTTGCCAAATGTAAAGAGGAAATCTTAAAAGCCATCAGGGAGAAAAGTAGCTTAAGATTACCTGTAATTTCACTGGGGTATGTCTCAGTGTCAGGTTAGTTCATTTATTTTTCTTGGTATGTCATGTGTACTTTCAATCTGACAATATGTTTCCATTCTGGAAAATGACCATATCATTGTGTTACTGATTATTACTTATTATTGAATTTAATTCTGTTACTCTATTTTTCACATATAGGATTTTGTTTTTTCTGGCCATACCATGCGGCATCTCAATTCCCTGACCAGGGATCAAACCCTAGCCCTCTGCATTAAGGGTTCAGAGTCTTAACCACTGGACCACCAGGCAAGTCCCATATATAAGATTTTTAATTAGATTATTTTCTTCAGTCATACTTAGTCTGCTTTTGTTTCATAAAGAGTAGTCATTAATATCATAGGCCATTAGACTATAAGTAAATCCATCTGATTATTAAGTTGTTAATTATCTTCATAAATTTTCTTTTTCATGTGATTGGGAATTTTAATTTTGGAGCTTATGTGAAAGGTTCCCCCCTGCTCAAATTTTTCTTTATAGTCCCTTATTCTTCTCTAGTGGCTTTGAAATTGCCTCTGCACTGGCCTTAAGAACTTGGTAAAAGTTATCCATGAAACATTCTGGGCCTGCTCCTTTTCCTGGGGAAAGGGGGAATGTTTATTTGTATAGCTCTTTGATGGAAGACCCCCTGGAGAAGGGAATGGCAGCCCACTCCAGTATTCTTGCCTGGAGAATTCCGTGGACAGAGGAGCCTGGTGGGCTATAGTCCATGGGGTCGCAGAGAGTTGGACACGACTGAGGCAACTGAGCAAGCGCTCATGATTAGCTCTTCGATAACAAAATAGTCTTCAAAGTTAGAGGGGTGCCTTGTGTAGCTCAGCTCGTTAAATGGAGTTCTGGAATTCTGCATTTCTTTTTTCTGTACTCAACTTCTTTCTGTTGCACTTATACATGAATGACACATGGAAATATCTGTACTAGTATGAACACAGATAGAAAATCATAAAAAATATTCTATGCATCTTTTTTTTCTGATGAATCAACCAAAGAAACCAGGTAGCAAAAACTGAAAACAAATTTGAAATTTCATAATTATCTAACTCTATTAGGATTATATTCTGATTTTTTTCCTCCAGGTTTGGGGTGAGGCCTAGCTTTCAAATATCCTATAGACATTTACACTTACTAAAAAAAAAACAAAACCGTGTAACTCCTTTCAAACAACTGTTTAATACCACCCTTCAGTTTGGAGACAAAGATACAAAGTGTTTCAACTAGTACTTCCAAATTCCTAGACTGTTTTTTTAACTGCAATTATTTTCTCTCCTAGAAAAACCATTTGTCTAGTATAGTTTTTATCCAGTCCAATGCAATTTTAAAAAAAAAAGTTGATTTCTATTTTCCATTTCTCTATGCTGAAAACTGTCCCTCTCCCTTTAATTTGCAGAAAGTTTGGGGACTGAAAAAATTTTGAATTTTTCCATCCTCACTTTATACAATTCTATTAATGTCTGTACTCACTCATTTGAGACCTTGCCTCCCATGCAGGTGAAGGATGAGGATGAAGATGAGGATGAATACCCTTTGCTTCATTCTTTAATTCATTTAGTTGGTCATTCAAATTGTAAATTCAGGATAGCAGGCCATCTACATTTATACCTACACAAATCAGTGCCACACAAGGCATGTGCTGCTGTGAGGGGTCAGAAAAAGGACTGGACAGATGTGATGACACAGATGTCATGGAATGAATGACACTAGCTAAGCCTTTAAATATAGAGGGAAGAGTACAGGGTGTGCTTTGAAGGTGGACTGGTTAGTGGAGCAGATTATCTGCAGATAAGTATAGTGGGAAAAGTACCCTGAAACAAATCTTGAATTTTTAAAAGCAGGTAATGAGTTAATACTTGAAGCTTTTCATTTATCATGGATGTATTATTATATTTCCAATTTAAGTAGGATCAATTTTCTGTCAAAATAGTAAACAAAAACATGATTGGACTTTAGCAAGAATGACTAGTGTCTGCTGAAGCCTGATTTTTATCATTCTTCTCTATTACTTAGTGCAATGAATTCATCTCAGAGTAAGAATCATACTTCCACATTAATGGATTTCCTTGAGCCACATTTGGTAAGCCTGAAAAATTATCTGTGTGAAGGATGTCATTGAAATGAAAGTGATTTTTTTTCTAAGACTGGAAGTAACTTTATGAATAGTGATAAGCCTTATATCAAGGGGGAAGAGCTGAAATAGTGTTTTTACTGTCAGTCATATCTCTGCTCCATGGGCTGACTTACAACTTCAAAACCTTGGAAGTGGTTTTTCCACTCTATGTGGCATTATGGCAAGGTAAAAAGTGGCTACAATTATGCATTTACCTACCTTTCTTCTAACCCCCATCACATAATTAAGCAAAAGGATGAAGTAGTTGGAACCTTTGATTCTAAGAGTGAGTCAGCATCTGTCATGTCCAGGGAAGTTGGTTGGGGAGATCAGACTCCTAAGTTAATTCAGACCTTTTGGGAAATTTCATAAACACAGGTAACAACTTAGAAAGTTACACAGAACTCTTACACACTATCTAAAAACTAAACTTGACTTCTGCTTTCAGCTGAGATGGAGCAGTAGCAACCAGATGTACCTTTCTCAGCTGAAACAACTAAAAAGACAAGACAAAATAGATGAAAGAATGGTTCTTGAGACATTGGACACCACACAGTGAAGAACAGCGATCCCTGGGAGAGGAGAAACAAGGCAAGCCCTTTGATTATCTCACCTTACCACGTTAAGAGAGTTTCCAGTCTGCAGCACAGGGTGAGGAACATAGGTGGAACCCAGCAGATACCCTGAGCTGACAGAAAGGTGAGTCTGGGGAAACCAAGGCAGCTAGAATTTGCAGGACAGAGTACCAGAGAAGCAACCTCTGGAGATCTTCACAGGGTCCTCATTAAGCATGCCTGTTAGCAAACTACTTCAGGTTGGGAAAGAACCAGCTCAAAAGAGGGAACAGCACCTGATGCACATACAGGGTGGGGAAAAGTTCGTGGAACATTTGAGCAGAGATCTCAGAAGTGTCCTTCTTCAGTAATAGGGAATAATTAGCCCTTGATTAGTGTTCTGGTCCTGCCCAACAAAACTTAACACATAAGATTTGAAGGGCTCGAACTGGTTTTTTCCCTTAATAATTATTTGGCTGTGCCAGGTCTTAGTTGCAGCATGATCATAGATCTTTGTTGCAGCATGTGGGATCTTTGGTTGTGATGTATAAACCCTTAGTTGCAGCATGTGTGATCTTTGATCTCTGTTGTGGCATGTGGGATCTAGCTCTCTGACCGGGGATCCACCCTGGGTCCCCTGCAATGGGAGTTTAGAGTCTTAGACACTGGACCACCGAGAAGTCCCTCAAACTGGTTTTATATACCATAAGTGCATCCCAGAACAAACTGGAGGTTTATAGGAATACAAAAATGTCTAGCACCCAACAAAGTAAAATTTATAATAACTGGTATCCAATCAAAGATTACTAGTCTTGTAAAGAGGCAAGAAAACACAATTCATAATAAGGAAAATAATCAAACCAACGTAGAACTTACACACATCTTAGGATTAGCTGAGGATGACAGTAAAGCAATTATTGTTACTGATATGTTCAGAAGTTGAAGTTGAGACATGAAAGATAAAAAATGAAGCACACTTGTTCCCTGTAGGAGCCACCGTAGGGGGGCCGGAAGTGCACAGAGTAAAGAGTACCCTGCCCCCACACCTTGCCAGTGAAAAAGTAACCTCACCAGACCAGAGCCTCAGAAAGCTATGAGTTAACTTCAAATGACCTAATACACATATAATTGAAATCCCTGAAGGCGAAGGAGAGAAGGAGGGAAAGAGAAAAAAGATTTGAAAAATGTTTGAAGAATTTCCAATTTTGACAAAAAGTAGTACTTCACAGATGCATGAAGCTCCCACAGATCCCAAGCACAGAGACATAACTAAAACTGCACCAAAGCACATCAGGACATGATGTGATGAAACCAGTGGTACAGAGAAAAATCTTCCCACTAGCTGTCTCTTTTACACATGGTAGTGTATATATGTCAGTGCTACTCTCTCACTTTGTCTCACCCTCTTCTTCCCTTCCCATGTCCACAAGTCCATTCTCTACTTCTGTGTCTCTATTCCTGCCCTGTAGAGGGTTCATCTAGAGAAAAAAAAAATACATTAAAAATAAGGGTGGCAGATTTGCTATTGGCAACAATTCAAATGAGGCAACAGTGGAACACCATCTTTACACTATTGAAAGAAACAAATAAGTTCAACTGATTACAAATCAGACTTTGAAAACTATTCAAAAATCAAACTTAGAACCATATAACAAAGAAATCAAAGCAGATACTATATGATAATGTCCTATCTACAGGCAGTATACCAAAGCTTCATTTATATGTTGTTATCCACAGAGAAAAGGAAAAATGGCTCACCAGCCATCCACCGTAGCCTTTACCAGCCCTCTCATACCAATATCAGCAATCTTATTTCCAATACCATCACTGTTTCTGACTAAACATGGAGAAAGTTCACAGAGCCATAGCCCCCTAAAACCTGTGTCCCTGAGGAGCCCGTACATGCAGAGGCTATCATGGAAATAGTCCACGCACGTCTTTTCTCTGTGCTAGTGTAGTTTTTACTCAGCTGTTCCCATGCCTCTTCCTGATGTTTATTTTTCTGGTTACTAGAATAATAGCATTTTTTTTAAAGCTCTTCCTGTGTTTTGGGCTGGAAAGATCTCGCTGCATTCCTTTGGTGCTTTCCTTTTTCAGTTTTGTTTCATGTACGATTCAGTTACTCTCACAGTCTCATTTTAGATACTACTGCTCCCAACCTGTGTATTCAAACCACCTTCAAAAAAGGCAATGGCAGTGGGCAAGTTTGACAACCTATTCCATTGCTTCTAGCCTGTCTCTGTAACCCCAGACAGTTAAGCTGTTGACCCACCAGCATGACGAGGCAGGAATGCCTATTCTGGCAAACAGAAGCAAACTACAAGCCATCCTTTTCTGTGACCATATTAATCACTAGAAGTTGGGCATGGAGAGAATGAAGCGCAGACTCAGTACAGTCCTCCTGTACAACGCATGGGCAGAAACACCCTGAAGTCTCTGTGGCCTCTGAGATACATACAGACAGGGACATATCAGCTATAAACATGCATCAAGTGAAAGCTTGATGGGATTGCAGTCCCCACACTCTTGAAGTAAAGCAAGAGTTAGAGAGCTGTGATTCCAAGGGATCTACAGCAAACAAGTGGAGAGTTAATACTGACAATGATAGGAGCAACAGATACTCAGCACTGAGTATGCACCAGGCAGGGTTTGAAGCATTTTATGGATATTAACTATTTAATCTTCACAAGAAGCCTATGAAGCCGGCACCCTTATCCTCATATTACTGGGAGTAAGGGATGCCGTCCAGGTCACAGTGGTGAAGCCGGTCGGACTGACTCCTGCTCTCTCTCAACCCCTCTGTCCGAACTGCAGAGGGAGGAGGAGCACAGGACAGAGGCTGAAACACATGGTCAGTGCCTTCTCCTCTCACTCGTTACCTCACCATCCTGGGCACCTGGCATCGACGTCACCCACTTTGCCTACTCATAGATCATTTTGAGGAACAAGCAGGAAGTAATTTTGCAAACCTTCACAATGTATTTTAAGTGCCATGCCACAGAAGGGGTTACAAGGGGGTCTAAGAGACAGCAGTGAGGCACCAGGGGGCCGTGTTGGAGGGCAAGGCAGCGTGAGTGTAAGCAGCTTTCTGTGTTACAGGGAAGGAGAGTGTCTGCCATTCTCATGCACTCTGCTTTGTTGTTTTTGAGCACTCATTTCTCAGGCCAGAGGATCTCGCCCCAAGAGTAAAACAGTTCATCCGAAAGCTTCCATTCTTGTGTTAATAAGAGATCCCTAAATTGGATTAAACAGCCTCTTTGTTCCATACAGATAAGAAATAAAGCAGTCATAAAGGATAAAGAACAATTTTTTTGTATCTGGACTTTAAAAGCTCCAGAAGATAGCTTGAGAGGAATCTACGGTAATTGGCTGAGACATTTAAAAAACATATGCCTCTCTGAAAAAAAAAAAAAGAAGGGAGGAAAGAAGGAAGGAAAATACCTACCATCTTTGCTACGAAATAAAGATAATGGAAAGCTTTGGCTACTTTAATGGCCCTGAGAGCACTAATTTTGCAAGTTTTGCCAGAGCCTTGCTGGTCCACACCCAGCAGTAATATACTGAGACTGAGTGGGCATGTTGTCCTGTAATTAAGGCTACATACAGAGCAGAGCAGCAGGTGCAAACTTCTCATCCTTCAGCTCGACTCTTAAACTGCTTGTACTCTTGTAACTTAAAGTCTAAAGTTGTTAAAAGTGAGATTTGTAAGGTCATTAGTCTATAACAGGAGCTAGGCACTACAGACATTTCTTTAAAGCAAAATCAGAAACAGCTACCCGACTAGCACATATTAGCCATTCTAAGATGTTGGCATTTCACATTTTCTAGGGGGGGGGGACTGTTAATTCCAAGTAGATTAATATCCACATGAACATGATATTGAAGCCAGATTGGAAGACCTCTTTTCCTTTTTGTGTAAAACTTTTCTAGTAACAGGAGGAGTCCCTCCTTACCCAGCCCTCTCTCAACGTAATTTAGGTGCTTGGAGGTTTTTCTGATACAAAAGCCCTAACCATCACCAAGGTTTTGTCTTATTTTCTTATTAAAAATTTATCTTAAGAAGAATTTGAATTGTAGTCACCTTCCTGCAAAGAGCTGAAGCAGCAAAAACCTCACTGGAAACTAGTTCCATTTAAAACATTTCAGTGTGATCCTGCCAGATCTTAAAATAATTATAGCCTAGGAAGGCAGACGTGGCTTTGGGTTTGAACAGTTTTTATCATGCTGTATGTACCTTTCTGTGGGGTCAGAAGAAAGATCAGTATGTGTGCCAAGGACACATACTAAGATGGAAGCCACGTACCTCCGCAGGAACACCCAGGAGAAAGTACAGCGCCTGGAGAAGGAGCAGGGTTTCCTCAGGGACCGTGACACTACCTGCTTGGCACAGAGGTTCCAGCTGCCAGTGAGGGAACCAGCTTCTCCTTGGGATGCCTGTACCCATTGTAGCATTCTTTTGAGATGTTGAGTTAATAGGGTCACTGCTGCTTCTTGAATGCCTTCCGTAGGAACTAAGAGAAAAGACTTCATAGACAATGGCTGTCTGAGCTAATAGAAGCAGGTTTCATAGTTCAACTCCTGGTATAGCAAAAATACCCTTGTTGGCTGAGGACAGATGCTGCAGACCTTGCAAGAAGACAGCTCTCTTGCAGTGCCATCCAGGCCCACTGCTAGAGTTGTGTAAATTATTTACGGGCTTTGGCTATAAATTAGAGATGAGTGGAAGGGCCTTTGAGTCTGATCTTGGATGTACTCCTTATTAGTGAATTTCACACCTTTTCTGCTGGGTGGGAGGGTTTTTGTTAAGAGGACCAAATTTCCTCTTGTATATAGGAATTACTAGTGCTATTACTGTTTTGAAGACTGTTCTTATCTCAAATTCTACTCTAACAGAGTTTAAAAGCCCATTGCTAGGAAAGGTAAATGTAGTCAATCATTCATTTAATTCAACTCACTTTTTGTATCCTTGCTTTGTAAACAGTGGATCTGATTCCCATTTCAGAGAGGTTAATCTTACCTCTTTCCTCGCCGTCAGCAAAACTTCCTTGCTTATTGTTGTCCCAGGTACCTAAAATTCACATATAAACATGTGAATTAAAAGTATCAATGTTATTGGAACTCTTTGGGGCCAAATATCATCCAAGCTGTCAGGCTTACCCTTCTCAAGGAAATAAGCTAGTCAGCTCCATCACCAATACTTCCTGCACCTTCTTAAGTGCCAGGAGAGACAAGGACACTGAGAAATATCGAAGAGCTTGTGTGCCCTGGAGTAAGTGTCCTTGCTTACACAACCTCAGGATCAACCATCAACCTCTCTCTCACACACACAAAATCTGGTGACAGAGACAGGAACTTTTGCTCATATTTTTTTAATGTATCACAATGAGCAGGAAACATACTTGATGAAATATTTTCAAAGGAGTATATTCAATTACCATCTACAATCAACTTAACTATGACAACAAAGTTTTTGTGACAAATTTTTTTCAGTTTGAAAGTTCCATGTGGTTCTGTTAGTCTCCATGTATTTTGGTACAGTTCGA